TGGTTACAAAATAAAAACTCAGCATTTTTAAATCTGTGGCCTGGGATATCCATATATTAGGAGAAAACATCTTGCTGCGACCATTTGCTTCAGTCTTCCATTTTATTTCTCTGTTACAGACTTGTAAACAGGAGCCACTCAACCAATTTCCCCTCACAGACTTCATTAGTTCTATGCACATCCAGATTACAAATATGAGCACAAAGTCAAGGGTGAGGGTTGTATGTAGCTATTCTGATTTCTAGAAATAGGCAGCCTGAGTAATACTGACTGAAAGACTTTTTGATCCTATCTCCAGCCTGGTAAAATTGCCCAGGGAAAGAAAGATTTCTGCTTGCTACATTGCTGTCCTGCCACTCAATACAAGCTCTACCCAGGTGAATCTGGAGGGGCTTGCAGGTGGGGAAGTCTAAAAGAGGAAATTAATAAATATCCATGGTGGGATGTGGGAGAAACTGAAGGATGGAAGGCAGAATACTCCATTTCACCCTCCAACCAGGGCCTTTCTGCAAATCCCTTCTGCTTGCCTTTAATCAGAGATGGAGGTTTTGGCTAGAAGGATCCTGATCCAAGACCATGTAAGTCACCCCACTTAGGGAAAGGAAACTAAGATGCAAAGAGGTGGTCTGAAGCGACTGTGCTGGGAGCTGAGGCTCCATTGCTATCTCCCTTCTTTCCCAAACCAAGAGAAAGACTTGATTTCCACTTCTTTCGGCAGGGGCTGGAGCTCTTGGGCCCTTTGTTATGATACATCAGACTTAGGGCTTATTAAAGTGGCTGCATTGTGCCCCAGGGCTGGCTACACACTCTACAGCTGGATCTCCCTGCACCTCTTTCCTATGGGGCAGGGACAGCACACAAGGAGGGGTCTCTCCTGGGAAGAAACCCCTGAGAGCGAGCTGAGAATGGCATGGCTTCTGAGAAACTGGAGACAAGGGAGACCTCCTGAGTTTCCTACTCACCCAGGCCTTTGAGATCCTCTCCTTGCCAACACATCCCATGGACTCAACAGAAGCCTTCCAAATCCTGGACCTGAAAACTGGCTGTGCCATGAAAACCCACCGCAGCACAAAAATGCTGGTCTGCGGTCCTCTTTCTTTAAAAATTAATTAATAAAAATTAAAGAAACACAGCTTCTCCATGAATTTCCCCAAGGTCAGGATTCCTTAAAGTGAGTTTTTAAAAAATGGAGGGGAAATGTCACATCAATGTACAGATCCTTTTCGTTGAGATTTTTATGAACAGTTTGTCAACACAGAAAACCATCTCTTACTGTTCCACAGGCACAGTAAATGATTGTGGTCCCCCTCAATGATGGTGTACCACACTCAGGTGGGAGACTGTGGGTAAGGAGCAGTGTCTCTTAAGGATATTATCTCAAGCATGCAGGAAGGAATGAATAGTGAGAGGTGATCATAAACCTTCACTGGCATAATAAATATAAAAGAGACAAAAACAAATGATCATCTCCTAGAATCAGTATCTAGGGTTACAGTATCTAGTTCACTGGTTTCACTTTGCATTGCGCTGTATTTTATAAAATAGAGTCATTTTTTCAAGTTACACTTTTTGAAGCAGTGTCTCATTACATTGTCCAGGCTGGCCTTGAACTCACATCGATCTTCCTGCCCTAGCCTCCTGAGTATTGGAATTACAGGCATGTGCCACCACACCCAGGATCTACTCTTTTTTTTTTTTTACTTCCTTTTTCAGTTTTTATTTTTTATTGGTATATCTTTGCAGTACATAATGACTACATTTCTTGTGGGGAGCTTATCCATGCACATAACACATCAGTGTCACAGTCAGCAGAATCCCTGTGTGTTAATAATGTGAAACACTATAACCCAATTCCAGTGGAAAGTCAGACGTGTTGGTGCAAATTCTGAGTTAAATTTTAAAGTCAGGGAGGAAATCCATAGCTTGATTCTTAATCACATTTTAATTGGTGAAAAATAGTTTAAATACACAGTAGGAAAACCCATAGTTTGATCCCTAATCATATTTTAATTGGTGAACAATAGTTTAAATATACAGAAAGGCCTTCTAATAGTTGTTTCTAACCCTTAAGGCACACATAACTGAAAAGCTAAGTCTGGTTTCTCAGCTAACAATTAAGTGACTGTTTCTAGTTGCTGTCTTTCTTGAGCAGGATGTTTCTTTCCAACAAGCCTCCACCCGACATTTTATACTCTGAATCTGAAATCGTAATGTCAGAGAACTGATGGATCAGAAGCACAACTGAAGCAGAACTTGGAGGCAGAAGCAGGTTTTGTTAAGCAGTTTCTTTCAGTTTTAAAAAGTTACCTTTCCAGATTTCTCCTCCCCACTACTGCTGACCCCCATTACAAATCAGGTAAATTTAAAAATTCTTGCAGAGTCCTGTAATACCCAGGTTTTTCAGAAATCTGCTTCCCTTCAAGGTTAACCTCTGATCTGGTACTGAGAAGCTGGACAATTATACCTCATAGATGAAACTGTGTGGTATCTCAGAAACTCTTTTCTCTCAAGAAATACAGATAAGGTTGACAGCTGTGTTTCTATGAACAGGGTCTTATGACACCGTGGATTCCACTGAGTATACAACTGACTTTTTCTTTTTTTGTGCCAACCCCCTTGACCAAATGACCAAATTTATAAAAATGTTAATCCTTCCTATGTCCAGAGCTCAGTCATTTTGGACACCCAAGTACAGCTGAGTTGGTGTGTTCCTAAAATTCTGAAATAAAGTCTTTCTGTTTCCCAGTGGGCTACCTGGTGTCTTGAATTCTGCAACACAAGGACTCTCCATGATGATATCTAGGGGTTTCGCTGGGTAAAAAAAATCACACTTGAACAAAATGAAGAAGCAAAAACAATGAGCCCAAGATATGAGAGAACAAATGCACTATGTTTCAGGTTAAGAATAAACTTGGCTCTAGGAAGCTGAGGCAGCAAGATCACAAGTTCAACCCCATCCTGAGCAACTCAGAACAAAAGCCCTGGGTCCAATGCACAGTACTGGGGGATACAGGGAGTGCCTTTGGGACAATAAGACTCTGTCTTGGAAATACTGAGTATCTACCTTTCTCCACCTTATTTGTAAAAGACTAACAGGTTTGAGCATGGAACAGGGAGAAGCAGGAAGGAAACTAAGTCCTCACCTGCAAGCCAGCCAGCTGGCAGGCTGAGGACAGACAAACAGGCCCCATACCCAGTGAGCAAACAGCTGATTCCCAGGAACTGTATTGTTTGGTTAACTTTGCAAGTCTAAAGCCAAGTACTATTTAGAGGACAACAATATGCAATATAGTAACTGTTGTAGATTTCCTGTTGTCGTATTACTGTTTTGATTGATTTTATTGTTGTTTTATTCCCTTTAAAATTAAATTTTAAAAAAGACTAATTGGCTAATAAAATGAAACAAAGCTCCAGTGACAGAATATTTTCATGTATTCTAGAAAGGCAACAATTTCCTCTAACCGTAGACTGAAAAGGCTAAGAAAATCTTATGTAAAATAATGAAACTGAGTTGTGATTTTAACATGAGTACCATTATTGAATTACATCGTTTTCACTTTGATATAACAGGAACAAATGGCATTTATACATGCTGTACTTAGAGGAAATATTCAGTAAAGTATCAAAACGACTTTTAGTTTTTTCCTTCCAACTGACTTTTTATAGGTTTCTAGAAAAGTATTGTCACTAATCACATTTTTATTTCAGAAAAGAATGGATTGCTTTTGTTTAGCCATGGGTTTACCTCCTCTACCAACTCACAGTGCTATTCTGGAGGGTGTTATATGGGCTACAATGTATTTTCTTAAATAATTCATTGTCCTATAAGACAAATTCAAGTAGCAAAACAAAACTCATTAACATATAATAAAAGCAAATACAATGCTTTCCAGTACATTTGAATCTCTACTGCCTCCCAAAATACCACTCTATTCAAGAGTATATGAAAATAAAACTCTTATACATCATTCCAAGCCTATTTAAAGGTAATTTAGAGAAAAATGCCTCCTTTGAGGAAAAGCAGATGGCTTCAGGTAACTTACTCCAGACTGATTATGGTGTAGTGAACAAACATCATACAAATAAAAGAACTTGTTATTTTCTTTCTTTGTAGAAAAAAAGTGACAAAATGTTTCCATGTTCTTTAGCTGCTTACTTCTCCAATACACTCAAATTCCCATGCTAGTACAAAGAATAATATGCTCCTCCATTCATAACCCATCATTGGTTACTGCTTTCCAAGTGCCGCATTTACACAAATCTCTGTCTAGTGTTGCTATTGTTCTGTCTTCCTTTCCAGTCCTTTAAAAATAAGCAGAGCCGAGCATGATGGCACATGCCTGTAATCCCAGAACTTGGAAAGCTGAGGGTGGAAGGTAGCCACGAGTTCGAGGCTGGCATGTACTGCATAGCAAGACTGTCTCAAAAATAAAGGAAGGAAAGAAGAAAAAGAAAGAAAACTACAAATTTCGAATATAGCATAGATGAGATTTTCTAAGTAGAATGCATTTATGCATAAATATAGTCCCTAGATAACTAATACTCATCTTTCAACCATGAGAGTGGCACTGATTGAAATGTATTCAAATATTTTTAATTGTAAAGTATTTGCAACAGTCGAAAGGTAAATCCCAAGGCAAAACCCTTGTCAGTCTCTTCTCTATCCCAGAAAAACCAGTCGTATATAAAGTCAGCAGTAGTCCTGAAAGCAGCATGATGACTCTGAATGGGATTCCAGTTTTTCCCAAGGAACGTCCAAACATCTATCAATAAAGCCCTGGCTCTCGGCCCCGCCACTCTCAGTGACAGCTGTGCTATTGAGGAGGAGGAGGAGCAGTCGACCAGGCGCCTTGACGTCCAGCCCTAGGGCGTCCCTCACGCTCGGCCCCGCCCAGTGGCTGCGTAGCTCAGGGCGTAGAGGAGGAGGAGCCGTGATGGCCCCGCCCCCTGACGTCACGCCCTACGGCGTCCCTCCAGCTCAGTCCCGCCCTGCGCGATTCTATTAGTTCTAGAGGTGGAGAAACCCGAGCAGGCTCCGGGATTCTGATAAGAGCAACCGTGCCTGCCGCCACAACTTCGGCCCCTGCGGGCAAAGACGGTCGCTAGGGAGGAGAGTGGAGGTGGAGGGTACCCAGACTGCTGCCCGCTGCATGGCTGACTGGCTTTCACGGTCGTCTGCAGAGGCAGGACGGAGACGGCCGTTGCTATTGCGGAAAGAGGCTCCACGGAGGGACAGCCACCTCAGGGTGGCGCTCCTCAGTGGCAGGCTCCTCGGGTGGGCGTTGCCTCCCACAGGCCTGAAAGCAGGTGGAGTTTGCGAGTGTGAAGACTCCGGTTGGAAAAGAAAATCTTGGTGTCTTTGTGCAGAGACCCCTCCCCCTAGGTGTGAGTGTAGCAGCGGGTGGGACCCCCTCTTGTGGAGGAGCAGGTGGTAGTTCTCAGTTATCTTGAAGGAAGACTTGCTCTTGGCTGGGTAGGTGGGGTTGTTGGGAGAGGGCACAGAATGGGACTGTCCAAGGAGACTCAGGCTTCAGGAAAGAGGTGAGGTTTATATTGGTAAAGTCAGGTTTCCTTCCAACCTCACATGCTCAGCCCTTGGAGTTATCTCCAGGAGCCAAAAAAAAAAAAAAAAAAAAAAACTCAACTCTGAGTCAGGATCCCCTGGCATCACTGTCTCTTATTTGCACACATAGGACAATGAGAGCCAAATGCTTCCCTGAGTGTACCCCCAGATGCTCCTTAGGGAAGTGGCAGAAAGGGTTTGAAGTTATCCCCACCAGAAATCTTTTTTGGAAAGACCCAAAACCTATTGTTTGTCATGCTGTACTGAGCATTTGGAGCCAGTTTGGAAGGAGGCGCTCATTCTGTTTGCAAAAAGGTTGGGCTCCCTAGTGCTGACTGAGGGAAAAACATTCCTTTCTTTCCCTTGTGCTCAATCTGTTTATCCGTGGTAAATCTGGAAACAGCTGATGTTTTTCCCACCCCCATAGTTTTCCATTCTCCAAAATATAGCATAATTAGATCATAAGCTCACAGCCTTCTCATACTGGCTTCTTTCACTTAATAATGGATTTTTAAACCCTGTGCCTTCCTGTCCTGATCTGTCCTGCCCCAGTTTAGGGTATAATGGTTCATTTGTGTTAGTGAAGTACTAAATGAATGAATGAGGTGTAGGAATAGATGAAGTGGATAATGTAACACATACTCACTTCTTTTCTTCCTTTTATTTTTATTTATAGAAAGACGGAACTAAGCCACCAAGAAAGATGATGTGAGTTATTGTCTAACAATATGTGAAAACGTAGTGGTGTGGTTCCCTCAGGTAATCACACTTTGAACTTTCTAGAGGAAATAAAAGCTGTATATTTTCAATCTTAATGGGTTAGATTTGCTTTGTGGTCTTGGTTTTCTTTAAGAAATAAAGGATCCTTTTCCCACATTTCTGGCTATGTATTAGGGTTACTCATATATAATCAGAAGTAATGTTTCTGTTTTGTAATCTTATATGTGGTAATTATAGCCATTATGCTCATTGAATGGCAAGTTAATATTTACTTAGCACTCTTGATAACCACACCTTTAATCACCTTTGATTTGATGATTTTATGTTTATTGCAGTAATGAGAATAGCTTGAAACTATGCAGTATATCATTTCTGTTCCAGGCAGTGGGGCACTTTGTGGTACCCAGGGCTGGTACCTATGCTTCTAGCAGTGGTTTCATGTGGGCTTTTCAGTGTTGGGGTCAGTGAGGTCCTGGGCTGGTGATGAAGGGGAGTTTCCCTTTCTGAGCTTTCATACTAGATGAACCAAGAGCATCTTGTGAACTGTCTTTGACAGTTCTTAATCTCACTGCTTTTCTATATTTCTGTTATCCAGATGGGCATGTGTGAAAAATTCTCTTTATGTTCTTTCTCTTGAAATGAATGGTTCATGTTATTCTCCTGCTGAAATCCTAGAAAGAATGTTTACTAATCTGTTAAAAAAAAAAAACTAGGTATGATGGCTACACTTGTATTACTTAGTGCTTAGGAGGTGAAGGCAGGAGAATAGCTGTGAATTTGAAGTGAGCCTAGGCAATAGTGAGTTGAAGGCCAGTCTGAATCACATATTGAGACCCTGTCTCAAAAGAAAAGTGAACAAATAGAATCTTGATTTCCATAGTAACAGACACTTGTGATCCCCTTGTATTTTTTTTCCATATTTTTTTATTTAAGGAGAAAAGAAAAGAAAAAAAACAGTGAAGGGGTACAAGTTATACAGATTTACAGAAGAAAAAAATGCGCAGTAGGAAATCACTAGTTAATGGATTACGTATTGCCATCTTAGAAATAATTGTTCAAGTCACAAAATTAAAGCTTGTAAAGTGGACATTCCAACAATGATACTGCAAACAGTTCTGTTCAATGATCCAATAAAACTCTGTGATATCATTTTCTATCTTATACACTTAAATATACATGCAGTTATATACTTTAGAGCACTTTCTTTTCCTCTCTTTTGTACAATGACTATTACACATTTTGGGTTTCATTGCTCCCACGGTTCTTATTGCTTTTTTGGAAGAGAGTAAAACCAAATGTGACATAACAGAACAGAATCGGTCAAGTCAAAAGGGTGGACATAATAGATAATATAAAAACATAATACAAGGTGATCAACAATGGTTACCATAATGCCTCCCGCTATCTCTAATAGAATTGCCTATATCATTAGTTGTAATACAATTGAACAAAACAGTAAAGAATAAAACCGACAAAACCAAAACATTGGAGACATTGTAGGTCTTCAAAAGTAGATAGAAGTCAATGAGAATGGGCGTTATAATGAATCTCATTATCTTCTCAGCTGATGCCTAAACTTTCGAACCTGATACTATCCAGCAAAACAGAATAGAGGAACCTCAGTCAAAAACAAGATGGTGAGAGTAATACAGGGCTTCAAATCGAGATAATAGAAAGTCAAAGTGGGTTACTATATTATATCCTGCTATTTTTTTCCTTTAATTAAATGGATAAAAATAAAAAAGTAAATAATGGAGTGGAGATTGAGAAAAAAGAGGGCATAACAGCGAAACAGGGCAGATCAAAACATAACCATTTAAGCAGAATAGTGTTTCACCACCAGATATTTCCAACCCAAAAGTAGTTACCATATTGACTCTTTCCTTGAAGTCCTTGAGTACAACTTCGTATACTGTAGCATTAAGTATATCAAAACAATGTAAAACCATTTAAGAGAATGACAGCATTATAGAGTATTTAGAATCGACTAACAGAAAATGAACAGTGGTTTCTGTATAATCTCCTTGTCTTTAAAAGGTTTTTGCTTATACTATCGTACATAATAAAATCCAATAAGATACAACCTGTTTAGACCATTGGAGACAGAAGAACAAAAGCTAGATGAGACTTCAAAACAAGATGGTACTAAATCAGTATTACCTATTAAGGTGTCATTTTCTCCAAAATAGCTGTTCCTATCATCCAATCTTCTCTGTTTTATTTCTGTTGAGCTCTTTTTCTGTCAGTAGCTGTCAGTTTGTCTTCTTCATTTTGTTCTCTGCTCCATTCGTTGTGGCCTCCCCGCCACTATTTCTGGGTTCTTTGTATTTTTCTTTTTTTAGAATATCCTGCAATACTCTCTGTAGGGTTGAATTGGTGGTTGCAAATTCCCCCAGTTCCTCTTTATCCTGGAAGCACCTCGTTTTTCCATCAATTTCCAGGGACAGTTGTGCAGGATATCTCAATCTTGGCTGGAGATTATTATCTTTCAAAGCTTGAATTATTTCCCCCCACGCTCTTCGTGATTTGATGGTTTGTGAAGAGAAATCTGGTGTAATTCTGATGGGTGTTCCCTTGTAAGTAGTCTGTTTCTTGTCTCTTACAGCTTTTAATATTCTGTTCTTGTATTGAATTTCTGGAATTTTTATTATTATATGCCTGGGTGTTTCTCTGTTAGGGTTGTAGGTAGCTGGGGTCCTGTATGCCTCATACATCTGAGTATCTTTACCTTTTGCTAAATTAGGAAAATTCTCCTGGATTATTTCTGTGAGTAGCTTTTGTAGTTCACTTGTTTGTGTCCCTACTTCTTCTTTTATGTTCTTAATCCTTAAGTTATGGCTCCTCTTATCATCTTCTTGTCTTTGTATTATTGCTGTTTGTTTCTTTGTTATTTTTAAGAAGTTTTTCATTTCATTCTCCCATATTACAAGTCTGCCCTCCAGTTCAGATAGTCTGTCCTTAGTTTCTTTCAAGCTGTTATGCCAGTCCTGGATAGATTTCTTAATTTCTTGATAGTCCCTTTGAACCTGCTTCACATACTCAATGCTTTCTCTGTTTTCTCCATCAAGCAATTCTCCCCTCTTTTTCTGTTCTTCCATTCCACCATCTGTTTTTTCCTGGGTGGTGCTTAGCATTTCTCTAACTATTCTGCATACTTCTAGCTTCAGGTCGTTGATAACTTCATTCCTGAATTGGTCTGTGAGGCTCTCTATATGGCGCTTAATGTATATTGGTGCGGTGTCCACTATTGCCTGTTTCTCAGAATTGGGGGCCGAGGAGCCTTTCTTGTTACTTCCCTTCCCCATATTATCTGTTCCTTATAAAATGCAAGCTTACATAGGAGGCCCGGCTTCCCTGCTTGTCAGCCACAGCCTGATCAAATTGCGCTGGCTAGTTGTTCCCGCCCACCGCTGCGCGCGCCAGGGAGTCACAGGGGAGGCAGCCTACGCGGGAGTCAGTCGCTCCTCCGGGCCACCGTCAGGCTCTGGGATCTGGGTTAGGCCAGCCTAGGGAGTCCACCAGCAGCGTCACGCAGGCCAGGCACTTTTCACCAATCCCGTCCGAGAGGGGAATGTGTGGCTGGAATCGCCACCGCGCCCTGCTCTTACAGGACTGCCAGAGCCCAGAAAGTCCTCCGCTGGAGTCAAACTGTGGTAGGGGGTCAGTTTCTCACTCACCTCACCACAAGTCAGTTTTCGTGTACGCCTCCTTGTCCATCCTGTTTTCGACTCCGTTCGCAGACTCCCGTTCCCAGAGCTTCTGCGCGTCTCTCCTTGCCAAGCCGCTTGTGGAGGCAGCCAGCCACCGGGCGGCGGGAAACCCAAATCGCGGTTTCCAATGGCGCGGGGTCGAGCCTCCACACCTAGACTTTTCTGTTCCTATTTTAGCGCCAGGACTGTATTCTAAGTTGGTTTCTCTCAACCCAGTTCGTTCCTGAGTCAGCAGAGCATATCTCTACCGGTTCGTGTCTCCTTAGTCCGCATCATTCCTGGTCTCTGAGTCGAGCCTTTCAGAGAGCCTCCGGTAGTTGCTGTTGTGTGTCCGCCATGTTCTCCCCGATCCCCTTGTATTTTTTAAAAAAAAATTTCTCACTGAAACTAAATCCATGCCTATCACCACGCACAAACTAAAGTCTAAATAGATCAAAGACCTAAATATTAAAACAGAAACACTAAATCTACTGGAAAACAAGGTAGGTAGAAGTCTTGGAGACATAGGGGTAGGCAGAGAATTCATGAACATAACGCAAACTGCACAGAAAACACTTCAAAGAGTCAACAACTGGGATCTCATATTATTGAAAAGTTTCTGCACTTCAAAAGAAATCACCACCAGGGATTTAGCTCAGCAGCATAAGCACTCATCTAGCAAGCATGAGGTCATGAGTTCAATCCACAGTACAAAAGAAAGAAAGAACCAACAGAGTGAAAAGAAAACTCACAGAATGGGAAAGAATTTTAGCCAGCAACCCTTCAGACAAAGGACTTACATCAAAACATATAAAGAATTGGAAAACATCAAGCCCCCCAAATTCAAAGACCTCCAAAAGTGAACATCTGAGATGAACACACAGTTCTCAGATGAAGATATACAAATGGCAAATAAATACTTGAAGAAATGTTCACCATTACTGGTCATTTGAGAAATCCAAATTAAAACAGTATTGAGATTTCATCTCTCTCTGGAGAGCACAGCTGCCATCAAGAAATCAACTGATGACAAATGTCGGCAAGGCTGCGGGGGAAAAAGGAACACTGCTGTTGGTGGGAGTGTAGACCGGTGCAACCACTATGGAAATAAGTATGGAGAATTCTCAGAAGACTAGATTGGAAGATTGGAAGTTCCATTCAATACAACTATTCCCTCCCTGGGTATTTTTCCAGAAAAACTGAAACGATCATATCACAGTGATATATGTGCACCCATGTTCATAGCAGCACAATTTGTAAAACCTAAATCTTGGAAACAACCAAGATGCCCATCAACCACAGAGTGGATGAAAAAGATGGGGTATTTTTATACAATGGAATATTACTCAACTATAAAAAGGGTGACCTTGAGGCCTTCATAGACAAATGGAGGCAACTTGAGACTA